ACTTGAGCACCTAAGCCCTATCCTCAGGTGATCTCCATCACTGACGGGCAGATCTTCTTGGAGACAGAGCTATTCTACAAGGCTTGATAGCATGTTGGGTCTGGCATGTTTTGATGGAGCCACTCCCAACGATTTGTTATGGCTATGCCCCCTGTTTCTTGGAGCTTTAAACCTGTACTGTATATGAGCGGCAAGCTCTTGCATGGACGCCACCGTAGCCAGCAGAAGAGCCGAAGGGAGTCTCTACCACAACATCCGCCGTCTGGTTATTAATCATCAAGGATTCCAGTTCAAGGTCGGCACTTTCAAGAAAGCCCTGTGCTCAGGGTATCCGCCCGGCCGTCAACGTCGGTCTTTCTGTCAGCCGCACCTCGGGAGCTATACAGTCCACACTCACGTCAGGGCTTTCAACGAGTTGTTTCGAGCGGAGAGTGGGATGTTGGCCGAGTCAGACGCAAGGGCCCTAAGTCAGAAACGGATTAGTTGAAAACAGTGCAGGCTTTGGACCCTGAACTCTAAATCGTGTACAACATACTAAGGGAATGGTTAAAGCTATTGCTGTTCCTGACTCGCCCCTGTTCATTCTCGACTCACCCCGTTCCTGTTCTTGACGCGCCCCCACGTTCTTTCCGACTAACCCTCCCGCCTGTGCCTGACTTGCCTCCCTCTGGTTCCCGACTTGTTCGCCTGACTCGCCTCTCATCCACGAAGAGTGGGGTCGGTCAAGAGTTCTGTGCCTCGAGATACAACACAAGGCATCATAATCTTCGACAATCGAGACCTAAGGATCAGAAAGTCCAGCTACAAGGGCGCAGATAATCGGAGAGCCGACGGTACCTGCCCTAATCGTAACCCCTGAGAATCTAAATCTGTGCCAAACCTGGAAACCACCAATCAAACTTGGCCTTCCAGGACACTGTTGGCTCGGAGCCCCGCCAAAACCCCAAAGCATGAATGAGGCGGCATTAAACGAGGTTCCAGAACACATGTAAGCCCGTCACCAGCCCGCTTGTAGTTGCCATGTTGAAGTGATGAAGTCTCAACCTGCGTGTAGGGGAGCTTGCGGAGGACTTTTCTGGACCTAATTGCAGGGTTCGGGGCTGCGGCTACACAAATCACACAACACGAGATCCGCAGGCCCCCTCAAGCTGCCAAAATCCATATCCTGCCAGCACAAATCTGCTTGTACCTGGTCGACATTTGCTTACCACTGCAGTCAAAGCAGCTACACCCTCAGTTTAATCGAAATGATGATACAGTAGGCAACCAGATGCCTTCGACACAATCCCTGACTTGCGGACCTTTCTGAGGCGTGGGCAGTGCCGCCCAGATTAAGGCGATGAAGCAGGCGGAATCCCGCAGCGGTGGGTTCCAGAGCTTCGAGGATCTTTGGATTTCACAGTCGTAGAAATAGAGACAAGTAGCGTCCATTGCACAGTTGTGGACTAGGTACGAGCCCCACACATGCGCTGCTCCTCTCCTTACGCTTGCAGTTTGAACGTCCTTGTTTCTATGTCGTCAATAGGTTAAGGCGCAAGACACGAGACGTTCATGGCATCGCAGAGATCATGGATGCTGAGCTTGTGCTAATCAGAGCTGCTCACAACAACATGCTCTGCACGGCCCCAAACTGATAAAAGCACGTGGAGATACCGTGCTCAACCTTCCTCCACGCCACCCAGCGAAAAGTCAGAATCCATATCCGGAGCACGAAGATTTGAAATCTCGGCTACACCCCTCAGCTGACATTGCAACATGCAAAGCTAATCTTTGTAAAAAAAAACCTTCCAATTACTACTATCGTTATTAGTATTGTTATTAGATGTTGCCTACTCCAAGCGCTAGTCTCATTCTCAGCGATCTCGCGATCAAAGCCGTGGTTGCTTGCTTTGCCCAGTTCTGCACGCCCAAAGCTTACTTCGAGTGCAGTTTTGAACAATAATGATAATAATAACACTAATAGTAATAAATCAGAATGAAAGCAATAAGCATAATAGCGAAAGGTAGTAGTAACAGTCACAGTAATAATAGTAAGACAAATTGCAAGAAGAGCTTGTGCAGGTGGCGGGCACATTGAAGCTGGAACTGGCCCAGTACCGTGAGGCTCAAGATTCTGTGAAGAAGCAGTGGTAGGCCAAGACATGGTTCCACGATGAGCTACGATTCCAACTTGAGGGTGCGGAATTTAGGGCGAGATGGCCTGCGGTTTACGGAGTCTGAGTTAGCCGATTTCAACACCGAAAGTAAAGACACTGCGGCTCCTTTGCAAAGGCTTGACTTCAAGGAGAAGGGGTCTCGGCTTTGTTCCCCTTCTTCCAATGCAACAGCCAGAAACCCAATACCATGGGTGTTGCGTCATGACAAGTAGTGTACTAGCATCATGTGCACGAGCATGCGCACGGGCATGGAGTGTCCTAGCTACACAACATGCTAGCATTTTGGCATTCTGTTCCCGAACTTGTGGAGATCATCGTCACCCTGAAGTCTTATGATCTTGCCTTCTGCCCACTGATTAGTATTGCATAGATCGGAGGCTATATGGACATTCTGCGATATCGCAGTGCCTTGTATTATGTATATACTATATCCCTGAGACATTTGATAGGATACAGTGCAGGGACTGTTGTTTCGTGTGGGAGGTTGCCGCCTTCGCGCAGTTCGGCTCTGACCTGGATGCTGCCACACAGCATCAGCTGCTGCGAGGCGCTTGATGTAGGGTGCAGTTCTTTGAGGACCCTAAATGCCCTAAACGAATTACGCTGGGGGTTGCGCATGGGAAGTAGCTCTGGAATCCCTTTGCGGGATCAGTCAAGCAGGTCTTGGCTACAAAAGCAAGCGCCTTAGAGCGAGGGACATGTCTTCCTGGGGCGCCCCGCCTGTTTACTGCGAAGGCGGCAGCGCTTGCAGGAACCCAGAACGTTTCCTCGGGGTCAAGGGACAGAAGGAGGGCATGACAAGGATCTTTAGACATGTCTTCTGGCCCTTGCAGCTGCGAACAGGCCCTCAGCATGCTCCCAGATCTTAAGACAATCCTTGTCAAAACGGGTGAGGTCCTGATATCAGAAATTCTAGATGCCGCATCCGAAGTTCAAATGAGCGCTGAACTAATCGTAATGCTGGACACAAGAGCGCTCAACAGGGGATCCCAAATCTGCGCTGCAAGCAGCTGGTGCCACATGCGAGGTCTCCAGAGCCAACACAACCATGCTTCTGTAATCTTAGCTGCCATTTGAAGGCAAGTGCTGCTGTCAATATTTTGCAGTTTCACTTTCATTCTCTAAGATACACACCAAGTCAAGCTCAAAGATGCTTTTGCACAGTTGCTGCCAATTAGACGCACACCAGTATGACAGTATGCCTGTGAATCTCACTCTGTCAGACCACTATATCATCAACCAATTGATTGACCGGTCTTTCCATCCTGTTTGCAGGCTGCCAGCAGCCCAATTTCCCAATGTCATCAAAACAGGAACTGACATGACAGCCAAGGTCTCCACATAATTAACCCTCCCTGAACCTTCGCATATGGTGGTTCCTGGCATATAATCCCAAGTTCGAAAGTTGAATGCCAAATGCAGGCAGTTCAAAGGGAGTATTCTTGTCCCCGGTGGCCCTCACATGCGTGTATTATGCAGAACTTGTGTCAAGTGTCTACACCGTATGTTTCTGCAACGAGAGGCGGCATTCTGACCGAGCTGCTGAAGCAGAAGCAGTCGCCTGGTCAAACATGAAAGCGACACTTAGTTTAGTTTTTTCCACAAAGAGCAGTGCCTTCTTGAGAGCATCCTCAGAATAGGAAGAAACTCTGAATCCAAGTGCCCGTCTTGAGCGCTGGAGTTGGGAAGCTAAGGCTCGCTGATAGGTAAGTGTTGGGGTTTAGGGTTTACCTCGTGGATCGCAGTCGAATTCCATCTGAAACAGCATCATTGAGTTCTAGGTAAATCAGATTGTTTTTTGATACCCGCGCATCCTTTGTGTGATTGTAGCTGGCTTGTATATGCGGCTAAGATGTTAGTACATTTTCGGGTGGCTGATTTTGGTCAGGTCAAGCTGGCTAGGCCTAGGCTATCCATCTAGTAGCAGAAATGCCAGGAAAGATTACTTACGGCTCCAGTACTCTTCCGCAAAAATTCCTTCAAAACGTCCTCGAGGGCAGATGAGCCAATCCAAGCTGGCAGCCAGAAAAAGTAGGATGCGCGCGCCTTAATGGACATTGGGCCGTCGACCAGTTGCATTCCAGAATTCTCCGGATCCTTAGTGCTGGCTAAGTTGTGGTGGCAGGTCTCGGGCCATGAGCTGTGGCGTGACGCGTTCCCTTTCTATCTCGCACATATACAAGTTTGTTGTTTGCGGTGCATGTGTGATATTTGCGTGCTAGTCAGCTGCAGCAGCAAATAGGTGTTTGGTTGCGTCAATTGCATGTGTGCTGCTGCCCGTGAGCTGGCAATATGCTACAACAAGAAGCCTCGTGAGAAAAGCTGCGGTCGCGGCAAACCACGGCGTCATAGGCGCGTAAGATGCCTGGAGAAGCGTGCAGTGTTGCAAGTTGGCTGCAAGACGCCCATTCCCGGCAAAGCCCTCCCTGGCTGCCAAGTGCAAAACCCCCACAACCTTTTGTAGGCACCTGCCGGGCAGGAAGCTATGGACCTGTGCTACAGAACAAAGGTGGAAAACAAAAGTGCAAATCATATGACCCAACGCGCGCTTGTGATCTTCTTCCGTGCATTGGCACAGTCGCAAAAGGGGTTACCAAGAGTTCTTGCGGCAAAAATTGTGACGGCCGTGATTGGGTGGAATTCTTGGCTGCAGTGTCTGGCGAACCCCATGGTGTGCGAGTGGTGTGGACATGGAAATAACCACCGGCGGAGGGCACGTAAAGAGGCCTTGCTGCTACTTGTGTTTGTGGTGGCGGTGTTTGAGAGGGCAAGTCACACGCAGCAGCTTCAGAAAGGGTTGTGGATGTTCGTCTGGTTACTGCCTTTCTGCTTGTGATATGGGGTGCCTTGCGCCCTACACTGATAAACAGAGAGTGGACGTGCGTGATACGAGCGGCGTGGGTGGCGTGGTTTGTGGGTACATGCTGGAAAGCCTAGAGCTGCGCGCGGGGCATGCCTTGTGGAATTTCAATTGGGCATTTTGGGCAAAGGACTCTTCATGCTGTGCTGGTGAAGTTTTTGAGGCCGAGGCTTTGACTTCCGGATTGCATGGCCACTGGGTTCTTGGGCTTTCTTCTCACATGTCCTGTGGCATTTCTAGTGACTGTTATTGAAAGTGGTTGGCCTGCTCGCGGGAAGAGCCGTGGCTGACAGCTTGCACTCCATGAAGGCTACACCTCTGAGCTGGGCTATGCAAGTGAATGTGGCGTCAAATGAGCGCCCGGGAGGGACAGCGAAGTATTCCAGAGACGCAACGGAGTGCCAGCAAAAAAAAAAGCGTCACTGATTAGTTGTAGGTTTTTGTAGGTTTTACTGGGCGTGGGTTGATGCTGACATGGAAGAGGCTCTCAACCAATGCGGTCAAACTGTGCGAACACAACTTGCATCACTGAATCTTGATCAACTACTGTGCTGACGCCGTCGATTGTGCTAGAGAACGTCTCAGACAAGCGAGAAACGGATGAAAAAAAGTTTGCACGTCATGCCATGTGATCTGCGATCGTGTTTTCTGAGGTTCGTGCCCATGACAACCGCCGAGATCATCGTGTCTCTGTGGGCAGGAACCCGCGGCTATCTGGACAAGGCCTGGAAACCTTCACTCCCAACCCACACCATCCTCCAAAGAGCATTTCGCATTTCCCCGGACTTTCACCCTTCCATGTCAAGCCTACAGCACTTCCTCAGAGCAATCGTCTTGCCTTTTTGATCGTTTTGCCGTAAAGACATGTAATGTAAAATCTCGTGCTGCGCTTGCCACAACACAGCTTTTGTCTTGTCAACTTGTTTTTAGTACTGGGCTTCTGGACGACCTTGCAGCCCTTGGCAGGTTGCCACAAAGGAGATCTTGCGATTCGAGGCCTTGTGGTTGAAGCACTTCAAAGACACCAAGGGCGATGTGCTGAAGGCCTCTCGGCTCCGTAAAGCAGGAAGGGGCCTCTCGAGTCCAAAAGTTTACGTTTCCCTGCGAAAACTTATCGTAGGTTTGTCAAGATTACGCGCTGCCTTTGCCTGGAGTGTCCGCATTTTTTTCAGGCGAACCTTTGTGGTCTTGAGATCTGACCTGGCAAATGGGTCGCCATCATGAATTGGAAGCCCAACGCCCAAAGAGCCAACTTGATGAGAATCCCCCCTTCAACAACTATTCACTGAGATAACATGGCACTGGATTGGGCATTGTTGTTTTTTGGGGGTGTTGCTACTCGTGGAAGATGGTTAAGATACTAACACATGCCATTTGCATTGCAGTCTCAGTCCGGAACTTTTGCACGAGTTGATTCCTCCCAACCTGCTGCGACAGAAGTGTTTTCTCAAAACCCTTACAACTTGTCACAACCTCCTCCACAGCATAGTCGTCTGGCCTTAGGAGATCATGGAGAAGAAGCAGATCACTCCTGAGATTGAGGGGGGCATCAAATCTGCGATGGACGAGCCACTCAACTTGCAGCCAACTAAGTATGGTGAACTTCATTTGACTGCTCAGATGAGGAACTTCCAGCATGCCGGTATGCCTGAAATGTTGGGGCTCGGACATTTTTACAAAGACCTTTCAGCATTTGGAGACGATCGTGGGACAACAAGCCACAGAAGCACAACTTGTGAACTATGCGAAGCAATCGCAACATGGAAGCAAAAACACGATAAGCGAGGTGGCCCTCCTTCTTGGTTGATGTTCCTTTCCTTTTTGGGCTCACTGGGATTCAAATTCAGATAAGGTAGTCCTTGGAGGGATCGCCACTGTTCTGCAAACAGTCCGGAGCTGGACTGCAAGGACATGCAAGGAAGACAAGCAGTGAGGAACGGAAAACAAACGACAAAAAAGTGATCCCAAGCTGCGCCTGCAATAGCTTTCGGAAATCTGTTGCTTTCAATGAGGTTCCTGGGCATGAATGAGTTCGAGGGCCGTGCGGCTTAGGCGCGCTTTGCCATTTCCCTTTGATTCGTGAAAAAGAAGGGGTCGTATACAGGTCATAGTACAGGGTGATGCAAATTCCTCAGACATTTGGACTAAGATGAGTCATCCAATTGCGCACTCAAATTCATGTAAAGGTCTGTAAGGTATACTCGACATCCCCATGCTTGAGAGCGGGTGGAGAAAGCAGAAAGACTGCTGACTAACACTCAACATGCACCCACGCAAGCACGAGCACGGTCAAGCTGACCGTTTCTCTTCCAGTCAGAAGCTTGTGGTTGCGTGGTGGATTCTGACCCATGAGCAGCCGCAGTCTTCTGCAGGCGCGGGCACTGAGTCTGGAGAGGGTGCGAGATGCACACGACCCTGACGCAGCCTATAGATTTTCTGCTATCAAAAGAGGGAAGCTTGGAAACCCAGGAAAAACAGTACACCTGTTCTGAACCATGGGGTCACCATGTATTATCGTTGTTTGGGGTTGCCCGCTTCACCCCTGACCCCATGCTGTCCCTCACCCAAAGACATGGGGGTTGCCGCCCGCCTGGGCCACTCTCGAGGTTCTGCCTTACACAAGGACTCCAGAAGTCTGCCTTACACAAGGACTCCATAATTATGCACTTGCCAAACTCGCTGTCTATACTGTGAATTCCAGAAGAGTGGTGACTTCCTTTTCAGGATTCTGTGGAAGTTTCATCATGGACTCACCAATTGACGACCGAAGGGGCTTGCTTCAAGGGATTGCGCCATGTCAAAATGTATTTGTGAATTCCAAAATTCATTGTGCCATCCCATATCTCTTGGCAGCATCTACTCGTACTGCGGCTGGTGGTGGTCGTCATCGTCGTAGTACTAGTACTAGTACTAGTACGAGTACTAGTACTAGTACTAGTGGTGGTAGTAGTACTAGTGGTAGTAGTAGTAGTAGTAGTAGCAGCAGCAGCAATAGAAGCAATGGCTAGTAGCAGCATACAAGTGTTGTAGCCATCGTTCATGGCGGTAGGTGCACAGCGGAAGCATCAGCATTGGCAACCGCATCTCCCTAGAGCTTAGGGCCCTTGGGAGCTTACAATTAGGGCGGAACATCCATTCTGGAGCCTCACGGCGAAAATGCGTTTTTGTAAGCTGGAAGGCTTTGGCGTCGGATAGTTTCATAGGTGCACGCTCGGAGGCAAAGTGCAGGCAGAAAAAGTCGCTGAATCATTAGAGTTAGCTCTCTGACAGTATAACACTAGGCTCCCCAAATTGCAGGACCCCAATAGCAAGCAAGCGTTTAAAAAAAGGTTTCGGGCGCTCCAGCATTGCAGTCCAGACTTGAGCTTGAAAATGCTTGTCTCGAAAGGCTGATTTGCGCCCCGTTTCGTTAAAGCCACATGGATGTCCCAACAACTATGGGTCCTTTGTGGGGAGTGCTTGCTTGAGGTATTAAACTGTGTTGGACTTAACATGTGGATCCTAAGTTTTAGAAAACCCACATCAGCGCATCTCAAGATGCCAGAAATCTGCGGAGATGCGCAAGGTCCCGGAAGAATAACGCGGGAAGTTTTTGGGTATACAAGGAGGTTATGCTACTGATGTATTGTTCAAGCATATGTACCACACGGCTGAATTTGCGCAGACGCAGCGTACATAAAGTTATCGTTGCCCAGTGGGAGGCTTGGAGTCTCCGCTTGTTGTCAAAGTCTCAGCTTCCTAGGCTGGTTTTTTGCAGTCTTAGTTACTTCAGGGTCATGGCCTGATAGCCTCATCTTCTGACAATGATGACAGCCAACCAAGGGCAACACAAAGAAGACAACCAAAGCGCAAAAGCCAGAGCTTTGCTGTCAGGCGATGCAGACGCTTGCTGAAGCAGCTACATGTTGGAGGGCACTGGAAGCACCGAAGGAAAATGGATATCACGTCAGGCCCAACCATCTTTCCAAAAGATATCCGATGGGGATGGAGACAGTGTAGACCTGAATCAGAAGAAGATGAAGAAGAATACGAGCCCACTGGTGCTTGATACAAGAACAGCTGATATTGCGACTGGTTCAGAGTCCTGTGCTGTACTGTGGGATTTCAGGCTTGCAGATTTCAGGACGAAGGCTTGTGGGGAGTCTTACACAACCCTTGCACAGGCTGCCTGAGAGCTAGCTTGACGAGAAGGAGTATGCGAGCAATTGATCTTTAGGACTTTCCTAGACCGTCCTGCCCTCCCAAGACATTGGAATCTCAAGCGGTGTAGTGCAGCGGAACTCTCAAGTCATAGTAGCTTAGTAGCTTCTCTTTCGTAACTAGGGGGAATAATTTTCCGATTTCATAGCTAGTACTCAGCATGATGATAGCATGGGAGCTTGCCGACCAGCCCTTGCCAACCAAACTGATGCCCTTGCCAAACTTGAACATGTCACGTTTGAGAAGAGTTTCTAATACTGAATCACCCAAATACGGGGGCCAGGCGACAGGCCTGGATCCTTGTGGAAGCGGTTTCTTTGCAGATGCTCCCTCCTCACAAATGATTGTCTAGGAGACTGAGAAAGCCCTCCCGTCCAGCTGCATCGGATTCAAGGATCAGGATTTCTTGCCCATCCTTGATCGACATTGCCCTGTACAATGCAGAGCCGCAGCTTCTGGTAGTGGCTCGAGCCAACATGAAGTACTTTCCCAGCAATGCAGGCAGGACTCTCTGAAGACTTCGGTGCAGGTGAGCCTGCGGACAGGATTGCAGCAGGCAGATATCGAACTTGCGTGGCCTCGCTGATCAAGTGTATGGGGTGAACAGTGGTAGATACCTTGCTAGCCTTCGTTGCCATGACTGTGGAACTGTAGACATGTGAGATCGGGATCATGTGAGTAGGCCTGAAGCCCATGGTAAGCCTTTTGATGAAACGCAGCAGCGCTATGCGTAGTACAACGAGGTGTGCACCAGTGCGCACGGCCTTGCAGTGTTCGGGGAAGCATTGGATACACCCGGACTTGGCAACCACATCAAGGCGGTTGCCTGCGGAGCCTTCCACCTTTGCGTCTTGCTCGAGGAAGGGATGCTCGGCAGATGGTAATGCAATGGAAGGACAGGCAGAAAAAAGGAGAGAAGAGAGAGAGAGAGAGTCAGAGCCTGTGTGTGTGCGCATGTGTGGGATTGCAGCTAAGTTTCACAACCCAGTGGAGCAGGGACGAGACTCATTTGGGTGGATAGCCAGGTAAGCCCGTGTGAAAGTCTGGGCAGAAGATGATATGCGTAGCACAGCAGTGCTCCTGAGCTCCAGCGTGCGCTGCGGCGCGGGATGCACGCAGCCAGAAGAGAAGGAAGAGGAGGAGAGACAGAGCGATAGAGGGGTTTCTAGGGGAAAGTGAGCTGGACAAGTTTGAGCTCAGTCGATTCAACGTGCTGTGTATGGTAAAGCTCACGAAGCAACCAAGCGTGACAGCCGACGCCAGCGGGGAAGAAGATGGAAGGGGAGCGAATATGTTTGGAGGCGGGAAGCGAGCATAGGGGTCACGGAGAGCAACGGGATAAAGGCATTGGCGGCTTTTCCTACAGTACGTTGACCTCTTCTGCCCTGACCTTGACAGACATTCTGGGCTAAGGGGCTTAGGCCCTATTTCCTCCTCATGGAGGACGTGCAGCCTGGATAGGAACAGGACATGAGGAGAGCGACCGAGAAAGCCAGAGAGAGAGAGAGAAACGGACAGCGTGTGCGTGGGAGTGCGCCAGTGAGCATCTGGTAGCTGGCTTGATGGCTTACGCAAACCCGACTGTATTCCACATCTTTCCTTTAATCGGAATCCGGTGTTGAATTTCTGCTCGCAGAGCTGCAATCGACTTGAGGAGTCTGCAATGCTACGGGAGCAATAGCTGCCAACAATGCGAGGTTCCTGCAGACCTGCGCGAGGTGGTTACTGGCTTAATGTTGAAGAGTTCATGTGAATGAACCCACTGAGGTCATCATATACTCAAGCAGACTTTTGAATCGGTTTTCCAAACAGTATCCTTCAACGAATCTGCAAAACACCAGATAATTCATTGTGATTGTTGTTCTGTGGGGGCCTTACATGTACCCTTACCAAAAAAGCGAAAGGAGGCTAAGGCATGTGCCGTTGATGGCGTTTGTATCTCAAAGATGCCCCCGTCAATGTAGGCTTCCAGTTTGGGCATCTTCTGCTTGTGCAGGACTGATAGAAAATCTGAGCATACCGCAGCATACCTTACAGCATTGACCTTAGAGTGCTGTGTCTCAACGTCCGGGCACCTTTTACTGTAGACCTCAAAATACCAGAGCCTTTACAAGAGGAGCATGAAGTGCGGAGCCAATTTCAGGTGATGGTGGCGGCAGGGGACCAACACACCTGCGCAGTAACTTCCATTGGAGATCTGGTTTGTTTTGGCGAGGACCACGTCGGACAGTGCAGAGTCCCACCAGATGCTGGGAGCATGTTGATGCGTCTAGGTGTCTCCGGGATTCGATGGTCATGTCAGGTTGTAGGATGTCTAGTTGAGGCGGACACTCAACGAAATGTGAAGAGTCTTTACACAAATAAGGGTTGTATTTGGACTAGCAACCCAGGACTTGGGCCCCATCGGTGCTGTGAGTGCCGGGACCTTCCACACCTGCGCGATGACAGTTGACAGGCGGCTGGCATGTTTTGGCAGCAGCCGCTTCGGATGCTTGCTCCCAGAATTCACGGACTGAAATCTCTCCTGGGGTAAGTCCCTTCTGGCCGGACCTTTGTCTCCACATGTTCTGCTGTGATGTGATGCCACAGGTAGTCCTTCGGTGACTGCTATTCGTCAAAAATAAGTGTGCCTGCCAGCCTAACCCACGGGAGGCCTGCCAGCCTAACCCACGGGAGAGGCCAGTCATTTCAGCTTTTCCGTCCACTCCCCTTCAGAGTGCGTACAACAAATTGTGTTCTCTTTCCATTTCATTGATCTTTCAAAAGTGCGTTTGCCCACAAGGGCTCTTGAACAGTCAGGACAGTGTGAGCCTCCGGAGCAGTTTGCGCATCAAGGGTCTGTCATAGCTGTTGCAGCCGGGGGCAAACATACCTGCGTCATCGAGAGCGGAAGCAGCTTGTCTTGAAGTATGTTTTTCCTACTTTTATTTCAATTATAACCATTCTTACTATTACTACTGTTATTGAACTTGGGCGCAAAGAGCTGCCTGAATATGTCAGCAGCTGTCCACCTTTTTGTGGCCAATGCCACAGGCAGACATTTGGTGTGTTTTGGGGACGACACTTACGGTCAGTGCAGCGTTCCTGATAACCTTGGGCCTGTGCTGATGATTGCAGCGGGACTTCGGCACACCTGTGCAATAACAGACTCTTGGCAGATATCTTGGATGCCGGCTCCGAAAGACATCATGTCTGGACGGCCAGCAAGCTAAAATTGGCAGCAAGCCTATTTGGCAGCAAGGGTTTCTGGTGCGCTTATCCAAGCAGTGCAACTCTTCGCTAGCCACTTGTTTTTTTTCTGGCAATAACCACATGGGAATTTCTCGCAGTTCTGAAGAGGGCGCTGGTGTTGGTAGAGGAGTAGGTTCATGATGCTGACGGTCACGGGAGCATTGTCAGCGATGATTTTTAATCGCGTGACAAGGATGAATCCAACAGAGTGGAGATCATGGCAACCCCTTACATCCAGTAGTATTGGAACTGATGTAAAGTCGATGCGAGTACTTACCTGCGTGGTGGGTAATCCTGAACCATCTTAGGTAATATGCAACCCAATATTGAAAAGTGTTTTGCCCCTGAAAACACTCTAGATGCGTGACAACTGAGAACAAAGTGAACATCGTGCCAGAGCAAGGACAGCCATGAGCTGGTTTGCTTCGGAGACGACTTCTTTGGCCAGTGCTCTGTCCCAGAGGACACATGGAAATCCCCCCATGCCTTTAGATGTATTCGTAGTAGACCTTTCATTGTCGAAGAAGCTCCTCTAAGACTTACCACAGGAGCATCCCTTTTCAAATCACTTAGTCGAAAAGTCAAAGGTCTATGACATAGCAGCCTGCGTGGTTGCTAGTAAGATTTCCCTGTGATTCCTTCAAACCCATGCCAGCATTTGGACTCTTGATATCAGAGGGTCTTTCCTTTTGGTGGCCATTTGAAACTTCCAGAGGACGTGGGCATTGTGGCTGCAGTGCAGGCTGTGTCACAACGGATGGGTTGCCATCGTGATGATAGCAGTGTCAGGATTACATAGGTTTTATGTGAGGATCATAGGAGCTAGAGGTTCGAGAATCTCAAAATTGCGGGTCCCTTCGTGAGAATCCCTGTAGTGAAGACCCCATGGTGTAAGGGGTACAGGAAGAGCCTCTTCTCAAGCTCATGCGGAAGTGATTGAAGGTGAGGATTAGTTGGGGTTGAGGAGGGAAGGTGTAGTAACGAAATTGTTTGGGTGTCTGAAGTTTGACTGGTGTGCAGGGCTCAACGTTTCAAATGAAAACCTGCGCCTGCAATGAACAGTGTCCTGATTATACGTTGAGAGCCCAGGGGGTGAGATTTGGGGTCTACAGATTTTAGGTGGGTCATGGTTACCTCCTCTATGATAGGGTAAATCATCTTGTGGCTTCCCCTGCAGTGCAATGCCCAGAATTTCCCGAGAACTTTGCTTCTTGGACAGGCGGGAGCTTACCACACGTGTGCAGTGAGGCTGGATGGCTTCTTGCTTTGCAGCAGCATTTGAATGTCTCAAACGCCTGGTTTCAAGGCCCTGCAGATTTGGGGCCATTGCAACAAGGATAATTTTTTTGTGCGGAGAACTTCAGCACCTTTGCTCTTCTTCCTTACATCCTCGGATGGCTTCTCATTTTCAGCATGCCAAGCGAGGTTGTAGCATGGCGTAGCCGGCCATTTTGATGAGCATGAGATGCCTAGGTAGCTCTTGCAGATGCTGAGCCCTCAGATCGCAGTATCGAAAAAAACTTGTCTAGGAGTCTAGCTCAAGTACATGGCTTTGAGAGCCATGAAGGAAGAACGCTTAGCTGAAACTTGTGCTTGCTAAGCTGCTGTGTGCTTGATTTCATTTGGACCAAACAAACAGAACTTCCTGCCTCTGAGTCTATGAGGGCCCAAAACTAGCAAGACAAAAACGGCATCATGATTGTTGAGCAGATTGGGGAAGCGATGTCAACAAGTGGCTTTGCATTTGCATGATTTCCATGATTTCCTTCACTGCTCGGTGCAACGGCGACTTGGCATCCCTTCCGCTGCATGGTCAGCAGCAACATATTTGTTGGAGAAGAACAAAGCCTGAAACAAAAGATCGAGAGCCTTGAATCCTACACCTACAAACCCCCTCGACTGAAAAGCTCAGGTTCTGTGGTAGCTTTCGGCTTGAATTCATCTGGACAATGCAAGATTTCTGCTCGGCTGAGTGTAGGGCCCACAGATGGCACTGTGGTACGGCAAACCCCTGAGAGTCCTGTAAAAGCCTAGTCTGTGGGGTATGGCATCTCATAAACAGGTTCCTGATGGTACTGTGTGGTCCCGCTTGATCCACAGTGACCCCATTCATCACAATTTTCATCTGAGTCAGATGAACCTGTCTTTTTGTACAGGGCCCCGGCTTGCGGGGTTGGGCTGATCAAAGCATAACTCAGAACCAAGCTCCAGAATGAACCACCGAAAGGCAAGCAGGCTCCAAAACAAAAAATCTAAGCGGGAGCATCCGTAAACACTATCTCTTGAGGTAGAGTGGTTCATACTGGGAGTTCAGCAGTTGCCGTTTCAGGAAGCCCAACCCATCCAGGCATTTTTGACTAGAGGAAATCCATTCTCTCTCTCAAGAGGAGACCATAGTTGGCATGATCGATTTTGGGGGTCATGATGCCCTGCGGGCAAACTGCGGGCCATCAGGCCCTTTTTTCCTTTTGAATCAAATTCTGTTGAGCAAAATTATCGGATATGTTGTCGACGTTCCATCTACTGAATTATCAGATAACGATTTGAATGCTCGTAAAAGTGTGCCCAAAACTTCATGATTTATGTATTAATATTCCATTGGTCCTCTTGGCCAGGGATAGTAGATTGAGCAATTTATCCCCCAAATAAAAATTCAGAATAAGATGTGCAATTTTCCTACGGCCGGACCAAACCGCCGCTACCCCGCATTGATTGTCAAGGAATTTGGACGATTGGATTATGGAAGAAACGGTTTATCGTCATTATTTCAAGCGAACTCAGAAAATTTATATAATTTTCTTTTTTACTTGCGATTTGCGTAAAGCACTTCATTAATATTGGATTTGGGGGTCGAATTCAAAGAAAGGAATTAGGAATTAAATCGAAAGTTCGTCATAAATAAATTTGTGATTTTTAATATATAGATTTACATATTGGATATTGAAGATAAAGGGAAAATATAATGATTGTAGAAAATTCTTGAGCCTGCTAAAATGAAATATTCTTAAATTTCTCTATGAGATGATGAAGATAATTTCTATAGAGAGATATTCTCGGATGAGATAGACGATTAATTTCAAAAAAAAAAAAATTGGATATTATCTAATATTTCTAGGAAAATAAAATTGTTATTTGAGAAATGTCATAGGGGAAAATATGATTGCTAATTTTATAAATTTATATATGAAATTGGGTGAATTCTTGATAGCTTAAGTTTATATTTGATATATAGATTCTGAAAGATTTTAGATTTCTATTTTAGATCTTCTTATTCTATTGAAAATGCACTAGCTAGTCGCCCGGATATTTGGTCTTTCTGTTTCATTTCCCTCTATTAGGCTATTTGCGCGTCGTTTCGGGAGAATATATAAATTTCTGCGAGAAATTACGATAATCTATAAATCTCGAAAAAATTTGGATTTCTATCTTGGGATTATATATTCTTCCTAATACTTGAGTTATTAACTAAAGAGAGATATATAAGGACGATCAATTGATGTTTATTATTGCGTATTCCGCCGAACCGCGCGGATAGTCGAAGAAAGAAAATCAACTCGAAATCTTGGGAGTAGGGAAGTTATAGAAGATATTTTTAAGAAAAGTTGGGAAAGCTAGGCCGTGAGCGCGCGAAACGGTCGCAAATAGCCGCGCTATAATATTGAGATTTTAAAAAATATATTATATAATGAAATATGGAATAGAAATTTCATTTTTAATGAATTTTATTCATTATTTCGAGATTCGTATATTCTTCTCTATTATATTTTTCATTATAGAATAATATATATATCATGATATATATTATATTTCATTCATTAAAGAATCTAAAAAAGAATAGGAAGATTTGAAATGATAATATGAAAATATATTATGGGATTGAATCAAAGAAAATTATTATATTTGAAAATATTTCGATTGAAATATATCTATCGAAAAACGATAGATTATCTATCTTTTCGAGATATTATGATTAATTTAGGAAAATTAGAAATTTGAAAATTTCTGATAATTTGAATTTTTATTCTTAAAGATTTGCGAAATATTAAATTAATTTATTGAATTCATTTTCTATATTTATGCTAATATATTTTTCCAATATTAATTTCATATATATTTTCTTCAATCTATTTAATGAGATAGATACGAAATATAGAAATCTAAATATCATATTTAGGAAATTCGCATCATTTAGATCTTGAAGTTCTTAGAATATATTCGGATTTGATGATATTTAAAATATTTCTATTTTCGGATCATTTCCTATTATCTTTCTCCTAAAAAAATATTGAGATTTCGAGGATATAAGATAATAAGATAATATCCCTTCGGAATCTAAATCTCTATGATACTCGAAATCAGAATATATCCAATAAGAATTGATTATTCGATTATTGTAGGATTAATAAATTCTCTTTCTTCTAGTTTAAAATGAAATAGGTTCCGTCGATTCATTCGTAAAATTTTTTGAATTATATTATAAGATTAATATGGATCGATATATATCGATTTTGATTTCTATTATCATTAATCTTAGTTATGATTATTATCGTTATATTCGCCACTACCGATTTTCGTTATTATCGCTACCGATTGCTACCGTCTCTTGCCGCTATCGCCGCCGCCGCTACCGCCACCGTCGCCGCCAGACCCACCTACCGCTACCGCTATCGTCCGTTATCATCCGTTGCCGGTTCCGCTAGCATTGCCGCCTATTTCCGCTAGCGCCCCCCTGCCCGAACCGCCATTTTCCGCCGTCCGCCTCCCACCGCCGCCTATACCGTCTCCGATTGCCACTCACCGCCGCCTCTCCGCCACCCATATTCGTCATTCCTTGCCAGCCTTCTGCGGCGGCAGCTAGCATCATTCGATCATTTCTATATATTCTAATTACGGCAACCCAGAAGCAGCACTCAGCAATTATATATTTGGGACGACAAATATAAATAACGAAATATTCAATTCTATTTCAAATCGCTTCTTTGCGCAATATTGAGCAATATGGAATCAATATAGCACGGCCCGGCATATCAATAGATTGAATCAAAATAATTATTTTTAGCCGAGATCTAAATCTCCTTGATAAGGCAATAATCTATTGAATAATATATCTATCTAAATCAATATAATTCTGTCGAGATTATAGATCTATCCCATTTGAGATAGCAGCTATATTTTCTCCTGTCCTCGGGCAAATATCATTATTCTCTGTAAAATTTAGTGGCCGGTAGCGGGTAATGAAGCAAATTATATATATTAAGCACGAGACGTATCTATTATAGATTTATCTATCATCAATCTGAATATAGAAATTGAATATAGAAATTGGAATCATTTTTCCAAGACGTATTAGAAGATCCCAAGATCATTAAAAAAATAGAAATAAATATTCAATATGAAAAGAAATTTCTTTATCCGCATAAATCGGGCATATAACGTATAGACCAATAAGATATATTTCCAGCTCTTGACGTAAAATATTGAATTCTATGATATACGTGAAAATATTCTATCGGAGATATATTATCTTAGTCGAAATTCTATGATCAGCTCGCATGATCTAAAAATATTATATATGGCGATAATAAGCTAGATTCAAATAATCAGAATAAGAATAAGAAGAATAGAGATCATCATCTTCATTTCTATATTAATCCATATCGTATTTTCAATTGATTCTATAAATATATAATGAAATATGCTTTCGAAATTTATGAGAATGATAGTTTATTCGAAATAATAGAACCAAAATCTCAAGAATGAAAATCAAAATCTTTCATTTCAAGAAAAATCTCAAGAATTCATCCGAGATCTAATCTTCAAAATCTTCGAGGAAAAAAAAAATTAGAATGACGAATCTATTATGGCAAGAATTACGGGTATAATTGGGACGTCCGAGCGCCCCAATAACCAGCCAAATGCCCGAGCAAGCGCGTATTCAAATATATTGGCCAAAAAAAATAGAACCAAATCTCCAGAATTTCAAATTTTTCCTATATCATTTTCGCATCAAATAAAATCTTCAAATGTACGGAAAATTTTCCTATTTTATCCAGGCTCAGAAAATATTATTGAAAATAAATAGATCTATAGATATTTTAAAGTTTCGTCTAGAATATTATTTCCGTATAACAATAAATATTAAAAATTATCTATATCATATAATATAATAAATTCTATTAGAAAGAAAATTAAAAAATCGAAATATTAGATATATAAAAAAATTCTATATCTTATAATTATAAGAAATCCTAATCCTAAAAATATTTAAAATCAATTTCGAATTGATTTCCGAATATCATTTCCAAATCCCGAATATCATAATCTCAATTCCAGATATCCTTAAATGAAATAAGAGATATTAATTATAATATTCAAAATCACCAAATTCGCCAATAAAGATTGATATATCTAAAATTTTCATATGAAAAAAATAAATGAAAAATATAAATATGAAAAAATCCCATTCCCGACTAGTTTTAATAATAGAATCAATGTTCAAATAAGAACTATTTCCAAATATATATTCTGATATTTTATAGATTGCTATTATTATACGAACCATTGCCCCCTCCCCCCAACCAAAAGAAAATGACATAAGGATTCCTCTATTTGGGGATTTGCTATGATTTTGATCAGGGATTGTATTACGTAATCCGAATAGGAAGCACGTAGGAGATCTGGATGAAATACGATAGGAATATCTATGATCGGAATGCCTGTGAGTATCCTGAATCCTGTATAAGCGGAGGATTCATATGATATTCTTGAAAAAATTACGTCCATTCTTGAAAGGATTCATCTAGAGGGGCAGGCAGCAATCAAACCGTAAAAATGAAAAAAATGAAATCCCAAAAGAAGATCCCAAAAGAAGTCCTAATTATCCAAAATTCGAGGCCTCCAAATCCTGAAGTCAAATCCTAGCCTTGTAGGGCTCTGAAGTAAGAAAGCACGCTTGCAGACACGGGCGGTCTTTGCAGGAAAGGTTTCCGTCATCTGGAGCTCTGACCGTTCACCATCTGCCCGCTGAGCCTGTCCCCCAAGAATCTGGGTTGAAGTTTAGCTTTGGGCTTTCGCGGTTAAGGTGTCGCATGGCTGCTGCTAGTGGTTTAGAGATTGGAAGTTGTCCGTAATTACTATGGACCCGAATCTTCAAGGCTCCCAAAAACTTATCCTAACCTTCCAGAACCCTGAATAGCGGGTTAGGAGCTCCTCTTTTCTTCTTCGGCTTGGGCTTTAGGATTCACAAAAAGCTTTGGGCTTGGAGTGCATAGTATGTTGATCAAATTGCTATGCCCCAACTGAACGCAACCTATCTATTTATAATATTTACACACTTGGGGAAGCTCCCCGGCCTCTCCAAGAGCAATCATAATCAAAAGCATGGATGCAGTAGTTGCAAATGACGTGGACCCCTAAACAAAAAGTCCCTGGACCCTATCTTTTGAGTTACAGCACGGATTCCTGGATGGGAATCTCAAGCCTACACATGCCCGGTTGTAGAAAGGGACATGTGGGCTTTTCCGATTGGATGAGATTGGGATAAATGCCAATGATGTTGGTTCGCAAGGTTTTGCTACCAACTCCGAACCCTGAACCCTAAACCCCTAAACCCTAAACCTGAATTTTTTAAGTCCCAGTGCAGGGCGATTCTGCCTTAGTGTTTAGGATGGGCTTTATGTTTAGGGGTATTGCCTCCATAATGGGGAATGAAATGGAAACGAACGTGGAAACTGAAATGGAAACTAGTATTGTAGGCCTTAAGTTTACTGTGGGGCTGTTCAGAGCCCAACCCTAAACCCTAAAACCAAACCCGCCGCACTGACCACAAATGCCGGAAGTTCCAGCCTGTCAATGAACCAAGTTTGCTCTAGGTTTTGGGGTCTAGGGTTTAGGGTTTAGGGGGAAGCCGCGAAGGAGAGCTGCCACTCCCGCAAGCTAGAATCGAATAGAAATCTCTCTCTCTCTCACGTGCTCAGGCGGACCTGTCAGACGCTTCTTTCTGAGGGCCGGGCCAACCTGCTCATGTGGCACATTGCTCCCAGCTTGTCAGTGCATAAGCACAGGTCCCCAGAAAACAAACTTACAAAGACGAATAGAAATCTGTTCCGAACAACCTCCAAGTCAATCCGCCAGAGAACCCTTGACATGCCAAACAAGAATCAAATTTCATGGCGCAGCCCATGCAAGGTGATCATTCTTGCTTTGAAACTTGAAGTCATTCAGCTCTATCGACTTCTTCCAGCCTGCTGGCCCAAACTGTGTCCGTGGAACCACGTGAGCCATCTCCCACACATAGTTTGAAGCATGTTTCCCCCAACCTGCAAGTGCAGTTAGGTGAAACCCCCAGCCTCCGAGGGCGCCTGGCACCAGAGGCCTTGCTTGCACAGGTTGACCATGTGTTGCCGAACCCCAAATGCTTCATGCTTTGCGTGGGCAGTTACTCGGGGGCCGCCGAGGTCACGCAAGCGGATACATCTCACCCAAATGTGCTGTTCAATCAAATCGGTAGCAATCAGAACTGGGAAGCGCTTGCAGGGTGATGAATGAATGGATTCAAACTGAGCTGTCAGACGAGGATGCCAAATGCAGCCTACGAGGATGCTTCGCCGCTGTCATTGGAACAGCTGGGGGTCCTGCCTGGGGATGACGACCTGAGCTTCAAGTGCGAAGGGTGTAATCAGGTTCAGGACAACTGTAGAGGGAATTGACGGCTGGTCGTGGGGCAAAGAGGATAATGCAGGCAGAGATCACGAGCATTCTGAGAATCCAACTTGAGTGAGCTTTGTTTTTCAGTTTGGTGACATGCTACTACATGACTTAAAGACATCAAGCAGCCGCGCAGTCGGCTTCACTGCTTCAATGATGAGCCTCCGTCATCTAAGCGGCCAGTCATCCTTAGGCCGAACCCAGACCTCCTTGTGTGCCAGTGCTTGCCAGTGCTTGCATAACGACAGCCAGTCTTGGTCTCACTATGTCATCCACGTACGTGGATGATGGCTCAATACGAATGGTTCGTCTAGCCGAGTCTAGCCACTGCTTTCACAGAGCTCCGTGGACGCCAAAATAAACCCTAAGGCGTGGACTCTGTGTTGGAATGCTGAGTACTTATAGTCAGCAAATAGCCCATGCAGCTCTTCCTCTGCTCAAATGCCACACCCGTTTTACAGCCTCTGGAATGCCTCGCGCTGGTTACTCTTTCTTTCGAAATCTTCTCTCCAAAAGCTAGCAGCAAAACACCACACCTAGCTCCAGACATTGGTCGAGGGATATGGAGCGCTACCTCAAGAATGACAGCCAGGGATTGGACCGATGCATTTCAAGGAGTCTGCTGCGCAACTCCCAAGAAGCTGACAAACAGTTCAGACATCAACACACTAAAATAAGGAATTTGAGGTGCAAAGCAGGCAACGCACATTTGGGTTTGGGGCGCGGGGCCCAGCTTTAAAGTATAGGCCTCAAACTTGCCTGAGGATGCCCATATCTGACAATCAAATAGGTGCACCCAATCTAGACACCTAAGTCCTATTCAGGTTCACGCCGGGTGCAGGCTCCAAAAAAGTCAAAATCAATATGCTATCAGTGCACACGTTACAAATCATGATAGCAAACTAACTACCACATATTGTAATACCGCAAGACGTAATTCCTTTGAGTTGGATGGCATACTTAGCACAAAGATGCATATTAAATCCGCGATGTACTTTGTTACATTGTATGGCGTGCGAACCCAGTTGCCCTGCCTCTCGACACGTTCGCCTGAATCTACTGCTCTGCAGTCGAAAATACAAGCGCTTGAGGGCTTGGAGTTTTCTTCTGCGACATCAGTACTGCCAAGATATACAAGCTTCTCCCATCAGCCTGCGGTGTCTGTCGGGGGACCATGTTTGACAGTGATAGAATGTTTCAGTTGCTCATCAAGAAAAACAAAGGATAGGATGCATCCTATTCAGTGCCCCCGTCGCGTCAGGTTTTATCTAGGTCACTGTTAGCGCTTGAGTCCTCCGAGACAGGCTCCAAAAAACAAGGCTTGGCCTACCCTGTCACACAGCTGTCAACATGCGCGCATGCCAAACCTCTCAAAGCTGCCACACCAGCTGATGATACAAAACACTGACAGAAGTCCTGCAAAGAAACATGAATCGCAGCTTTGCGAGTAGGTGCAAGATTCTCTGTGCCTGTCAAATCAACTTGCCAGACCTTCGATCCCCGAAGGTGCGTCATGAGCCGAGGGCTTCACAGCCCGGCGCCCGCCAGCCAAGTTCTTGGAGTTGAACAGAGCCTCAGGGTCCCCAGAAAGGATCCAAACAAAACACTGGCAATTTTGAGACTGTCTAGAAGTAGCAGCTACTGATCACAGGATTTACAGAAAGTGCAACTTACGTGCTAGAAATGCTCGATTTTATCCACTTGAATGCGACCTGAACGTGAAGAGCATCAACAGGTCGTTGAGTCGGCCTTTGTGAAAAGGGTTGAGCTGAGGAAGTCTTACATCATTACGAAAATCTGTACGTACCCTGTCATCTCTGCTATATTCCTTGCAGTGGCTACTTCTCCCAGTCAAAGTCCTTCTTGCATTCAGACCACTAGAATGCTAGGATGCTAGAATGCTCATTTTCTATCAGCAGATCTTTTCATTCCGTTCCGCGAACAGGAAACCTGAAGCCCAAAAGGGATAAAATGATCTACAGGGTTCCTGGCACGCTGCACCGCCTCCGCTCGCAGCTCTGCGGTTTCCGATAGGTCAGGCCTTTGGAACCGAGTCTATGCTGAAAAAGCCAGAGATTCTTCGGGATTTGCGAAAGAGCCTATGGCAGCTACCTCTAACCCCTCACCATGATTATAATCATCCTTGTATTGCTATTGGCCTTCTCGACTTCCACACTCTGTCAACAAGATGATTGGGGGTGGGAGATGTGAGCTTGAGGGCGTTTCCCTGCCCTTTTGCGGACACTGTGCCGGCTTGCGACAAATCAAACCCACCGTCATCAGCGGGTAGCAGGCCCAAGGTTGACGAAAAAGATCCGGGGCCAAATGCTGTCTCTTCAGGCCTTGAAGTCCTTCTTGAGGCATCTTACAGTCCTTTCCTCACCTTCGAAAAGACTTGAAGCTCTACAATTCAAAGCTGCTCAAGCCTCTTGAACTTGTAGAGGGAGCTTCAAGTTTCCTCCCTTTCAGAACCCGCTTGTCCTCTGGCCCTCCCCTATCCTTTTGCTGCTGTAGGTCCGTGACGTTAGGGAATAGTGAAGCTGGGCAAGAATCAACTCGCCTGAGAACCAAAAGTTCTGAAGAAGTTCTGAAGCAAACCATCGGGCTCCCCGGCGGCATAGTCGGCTCCAGACTGAGGCCCAACAAGAACTGGGCATGTAGCAGTGCATGGCCTCAATGAGCAGGTGACCGAGATCTTTAAGTTGTAGCCACTTCAGAATTTGGTAAATTCAATGATGTCATGAAGTACTTCAGGGCTAGCCTGGCTTGCTGATTCCACTTCCTTGGACCGACGCACCCCCAAACCACCTACCTCTCAAGCTTGAATTTCATTTGGAGCAGAAGGAGGCAGAGGCTTGTGGGTCTACTTACTACTTCCATTCCTTGGTTAGGAAGGCTATGGTGTCGGTCTGCGAAGCTATGTCCGAAGGGTTTTCTTAGCAGCTGGTCATGTCTTCGAATGCAGAGCATCAAACCCAAAGCCTTGTGCCCTACTTCTGCCTAGTTGGCCTTTCTGTGCCATGTGGCTTGAGGATTCCAGGAGCTTAGGCTCGCAGACAAGTGAGCGCTTCTTTGAACGATAATTCCTTGCTGACCTCCATGGCGGTTATGAGAACTTGCATGGAGAATCTCCTCAGGCGGCCTGCTGCATGCCAATGTCGCCTCTGATCTCAGTGGCCCATCGAGACGATTTTCTCTCAGGCTGGGATGGAATCACAACCGTTTGGACTAGCCTTGCCTCGGGATGCGTCTCCACCAACATGGACCCCTCCATGACAAGGAAAGCCCATCTGTGCGGCTGAAAGTAGTCTCCTGAAGAACCTTGGCGACACCATTCCGAAGCCGCAGCATCACGCGAGCGGATACGACGTCGCAAAATGCCCAAGAGCTGAATGTCATCACCCTGCAATCTTGTGCGTCCAAACGTTGGCAGGGCCTGCCATGGTAAACGCACCAGAGGTACACTGACTTCCCAACAAACATGCAGCAACAGAAGAAGCCACGTTCCTCATTTAGCAGAGCTCGAATCCGATGGCAAACTTCGACTCAGATTAAGCAGTAGGGGCCTTCTTCCCGAACTACTTGGTGCTTCTGTTGCCAAGTCAAAGATCCTCCTGCACGGCGGTCCCTGTGGTGGCCCTGGTCACAGTCAGAGACATGCTGCAAGACTCTGTGCAGTCACGCCTGGCTTGGCTGCAAATGACTCCTAATTTAGTCAGTACAATTTACTCACTGCTTACTCTTTGTTCACGCAGAGTCCATCATAGGCTTGGGTTCTCTATAGAAAGAGCAACTTCAAATTGTGTCTGAAGTCTCAGCCCCGTAACATCAGCAACTGGAGCTTCCATGCGAACGTGTAAGGTGACGTGCGCTCTGCTCTCTGTCCCAAGAAATGGGACATCTTGGGAAGGGGCCAGCTCTTGTTACCTCCCATCTGGTGGACCATCCTAGGCCGGCTCGGGAGAAGATAGGCTCTTACGATGATAGCCTGATTGCAACCTTACCCCTACGTTAACGGCAAGAACACTTGAACAACCAGTCCCAGCATCTGTCTAATGTAGCGTTTGAGGCAGACACGGCGCCCGCCGTGAAAGAAATAGCGAAGATGCAAGCAATCAAAGCCAGCAAACTGCGCCCAGTACATCCGCACCATGCCGCGCCAACTTATGAGCGGGTGGCTGGCACTTCGTTGCAAAAGATCGTTGCGAACAAACCACATGTTGTGCTCGTTAAGGCTGCCCCAGTCTCGATCGGGATCCAATGCCTGGAACGGAAGGAGCAAAGAAGACAGCGTCTCTGAAAATTCACGACTCTTGCTTAGCTTTAAGGATGGCGAGGCAGTACCTGCATCTTTCCCTGCACGCCCCCTTTATCTACGGAAGCAGTGTTGCAAACTGTCTGAGTCACCGTTCCAAATAAGCCCCAACCCTACCCAAAGTTGCTACCATCTTGCGGGTACGTGGTACAAAGTTAAGTTCTAATTCTTAATCCCTGGAAAGCCCTACAAGAGGCTGAATTTGAATCCAAACAAAAGCGACAAATGGCAAAAATGGCAAAAAGCCTGGCATGCGTGTCTGAACGCCTCAAAAGCAACCAACGAATAACCTGCGTGAGAGGCGACGCGAAAAATTGCATCAGCCGATGCACCGTAAGCACCGCGTCTCCAGTCGCATTCGCACTGAGGTTCAAACCTGACATCTGAAAAGCGTCAAACTGTGCTTGGTGGGCTGCAGCCCCTTACCTATATCAGTGGGGAAAATGTGGTGGACACTGACTTCGAGAGAACCAGGATATCTTCCGAGTTGTACGGGAATACACTCATTTGACCTACCTGGAAGATTTTTCCAAAGCACAGCAATTGAAACGCTTCTCACAATGACACTAGGCACTCCAAGTGGAACTGGAACGGAGGGGGGATGTCAGGGTTCACTTCAAGCATCAGTACTTTAGGCACGTATCCACTTTGCAGAATGCTCTCCAGCACGGGCAGATCGATGCTGTCAATGTCAATTTTGAGGCAATCAAAATCTGAAGGTGCTTTATACCTCTCAAGCAAAGCCTTCAAGGTGGGTGGTTGTACTTTCTCTATCACGATGAAAACGGCATTGCTTTTGTTGACGGATGCCAGGTTTGCGCTGAGTGCATCGTACAAGCTTGGGTCAGCTTCGACAGCAATGCCTGCATATCCATCTTCAAAAAGTGGGAAGACTGGATCGTGTTCGCGCCCGTCCGCAGCACCCAGATTCACAGCAAAATGATTGAGATGAGTTGCATCTGGAATCAAGGCATCAAGCAGCAACTTGAAGCTTAGCTTGGGGAAGCGCGGCGGCAGAGGCTCCCATGAGTCATCTTCTGCGGCGGTAAGAATTTTGCGAATGTCTTCCCATGTGCGTGCGAGTGCTGGACCGTCGGTGCCCCAACCACCTCTGCAGGGCAAAACGGATATCAGCCAAGACAGAAGAAATCCTACGGGCCATGGCATAATGCATCAGCGCCAGCTGGAACTTGCCATGGGAAATCCAAATGCATACTGATCTACCCTGGCTTTCAAAAACAGCTCTCAAGTTTCGTGAGCTTTGTTGGTTCCAGGCTTGTCAACTTGAACCCAAATGTCTTGCGGTAGATGCCAGCTGGATTGAACACACAAGCAGGCATGCTTCAACAGGAGTAACCTACGCTGATCTACCATTGGCAGGCTTCGGAGTTGTCAGCTGCTCAAAACTCAAGTAGTTGCTAAGTCTGCCGTCCTCTCCTCATGCAACCGCCCGGAAGGCCCCGGCGAGATGGTTCGGTTGCTAACATACTGTGGTAGTTGTTGCCATGCTGATTCTATGTGGCTCATCTCCTCTTGAAGTTGTGAAGCATCGTTCACAAGTTGCGCTCTGCCTAACATGTCTCAGAACTGATAGCTGGCTGAGCCACGGGCAGAGCTGAGGGTGCTCCAGCAGAACAGCACGCGCACGATCAGGCCTAATGAGGATATTGACCCCACAGTTGCCAGCTTGGGTGGGCAGGATTCAGAACAGAATTATCAGCACATCGTCGTACGAACCAAGCTCCCTGCGCAGCTTTGGCTAGTTCCTGGCAGCTGGGTGCGTGCGACTGCCGTAAATACGTTGTACTTAGGAGGTTCCTCTTGTTGCTTGCCTCGTTTTGAAGGATACGCCTTGTGCGACTTCACAAGATGTGCAAGATCAGTTTAAGGCAGTCCTGCATTGTACCAAGGCAAAGCCGCAAATGGGCCTCCGCAACACGTCAACGCAGAAGCTGAGGGCAGAGAGCACAATGCGTCTTCGCTTGCCCTTGCTTTTACTCCTCTACTTATACTTGTGCTTAATGCTTCGCCATCAGCGCAATCAAGAAATCCGGATTTGCACAGCAGCCACCTGCGGCATGGAGGCCACGGTCTGCACAATGTCCGTGTGCGCTGCCACCTTACGCATGGAACATGAAATTGCTCTCAAAATGCAGGGTCAAGGCTTGAGGTCAAGGCTCCCAGTACATTGTTGCCATGAACATAGGGTCAGCAAAATTGACAGACACAGCAGGTAAAATACAGTTATGCAGCCTGGTGGGCATTCCCAAACATGCGGCTTCGCTCAGAAGTCACAGTCCACTATTAAGCCAGGTCAAGCTAAGCTTGCGGCTGATGCCATGATTGTATCCGCAGGCACATTCCTTGGATGCAACAACGTCACCTGAACAAACACAAACCATTTGCCGCAGAGTTTTGCTGGTTGATGCAAATTCTTTAGACGACACAGCGCTAGGAAAGATCGGCCTGTGAAAGAGAACGTGTTAACAAGCCAATGCCAAATTCAAGGCACGTTGGGTGGAAACAGATGAAACAAAATTGCTTGATTTTGTCTACAGGATGGTTGTGACCTTGGTGACGCATTACCGCATTTACCCGCCGCCCTCGCAACGCGCAATCCATGCTCCCAGCTGATGAAAAATTTGAGTACTTCAGAAGAGTTGAAAGGAGCGTGGAATTGCAACAGTCCCATTCTGGCGGGGTAGCTTGCCCCCCATTTCATTGAATACCTCCGTCTTCTTGGATCTGGAAACAAACCAACACCAAGAGAACTCTAGCTGCATGGGCCTTACAACCTGTTCCAGCGCTGAACAACAAACAGGACACGATCGACCCAGCGCTGCAAAAAGCAGGCCCCCACATGAGTTGAGTGAAGCGCCGAACGCCTTTTTCAAAGCATCTGCATTTAGTTTCCTGCCACTTCTGTGCCAAAATTCGGGTCCTCCAACGCAGCCGCAGCTGCAGCAGCGGGGTCCACTGTGCCTGTGCATGAAAATGTCCACGCAGCTCAGGGCACTTTGGATTCGACTTTGCCGGCTAGCATACGTCCACATGTCCGACTGTCACCCAACTTGAACCATTGTCTGGTTCTTTTCTGCAGTATAAGCAGCCCACGCATGGGAGCGCAGCTTGCACTTGTAGCCTAGGTCAACCTGAACGTTTCCATTTTTCGCGCTGGCTGGTGGCTTGTCCGCATGCGTCAGCTCGCCGGATCCCGCTCCCACCTGGCTCAACAAGGAGAAAAATCATGACAATTCTCGCACCCGGTTCATCAGGTCTTGCATACACCGCAAGTTTCAGAACGAAAGCCTTGCTTCTTTGCTCCAAAACTGCTGTAGGACACAACACGCACCAGAATCTAAAATTTTACGATCGCGGACGATTTGAAGCCCATACCTGCTTCCCATGCTTGTTCTGATCTCTCACATGTTGGCTTTGACCACCAAACCATCTTGCGATTGGCTAAGCCATGTACGCCACACAACTGGAGAAACAAAGAACCAGTGTGTCCCCAAAATTTGGAGAGAGGGCAACACGTTCAAGCGAATGTACAACGGGCAAGGCTATCCCTATCTGCCGGGCAGGGGAACAGCAACTCAGCATGAAACGAAGCTGCCATGCAAACCACACAAGAGTAGAAAGCCAAGTAGCAACATCTTAGCAACCTTCAACCCGCCTGCTCATGCGCTAAGAGGGCAGATCCAGCTCGCAATACCAGCCCAGCAAGACCTTAGCAGCAAAGAGACCTTGCCTTTGCTCCAAAAGGCATGACGACAGTGCAATCACGATGGCACACTTCCTTCTGTTGCACAGGTCTCTGACAAGTACGCGTGGTAAGCAATGGCCCCTCTAAAATTTCAGAACCTGATCATGCCGTCTTCTGCCACTTCTCCTGTGCAACAATTTGCCCACTGCCCAAAAACCCTTGGCCAGGCTCTGTTTGTTCCACGAGCCGTGTGATTATGCTCAAGTTGGGTTTCATAATCACCACATGACGCAGAAAGGAGGCCTTGATACTTCAGATCACCTGTTGCTGTGCATGCTTCCTGCTGCCGTCATGTGCCTGACCATCGCCTGTTGGGCACGCGACAAGTGAGGCCAAAAATCGACCAGGCTAAGGGGGCGCTCAACAATTGCCAGCTTTGCGTTTGCATGCTGACCCTCCTACGATAGCAGCTGCAGGCAAGACCAATGCGTTTACTTTGATACTGAATCAAGCCCATCGGTCCTCCTCCCTGGCCTCAAGGTCTGCAACGCAAGGGCTTGTCTGCAAGATGAAAGACACTAAGATTCACCAAACGCTGCGGACGGCATAACGCACTTCCAGCAGCTGAAGACGCACAGAGATGGCTGGCGTGACGCTCTGCAAGGGGCGAAGGCTTTAGCTTAGATTTTGGGGCTGGGCATCCTGCCCCGATCAAGCCTCTTGGACAACAAAAAAAGCAAAGGCTCTGACTGCTGCGTCAAAAACACCCAGTGCATATCTCTGCAGGTCTTGTGCACGGAGCATACTCAGCGATCTGGTGCGTAGTTTGACGCACGGTCACGGGAAAACTCTGCCCCGCTTCTTCGAAAGCCACAATTGCGTGGCCAGGGATGCTCAAATAATCCATTGAAACTTCCCGGCGAAACAAGAAAGCACGCAACGACCTGACAGACGGTAGATGTGAAAGAATTTCACCACCCTCCCTCGTATACAGAACCACTTTGCAGGCAATGGCCTTCACACCAGTTGCAAGTTGAAAAGTTGCCGTGGTGTAGAATTTAGTGCAAATTCATATGTCATATGCGCTGCTGCTGTAGAAAGCGTTGCTAACGTACATTTCGCGCTGCAGCCATGGTTTCATCATGTGGCAGCATTGGAAATTTGGCTATAAGATTGCTTGTATTTAACAATCATAAAGACCAAAATGAGATGTAGTACTTAGGTCTGTGGCTAAATGCCAGCCTGTGCATATGTGAGATAATATCTGCCTCATCTCCACAGGACACGTGCAACAGAATGCAGCTACTGGCAGCCAGCCCGAGGTCACCCAGCAACGGATTTCGAAAGGTTTGTTGGAGGTCCATGAAGAAACGGTATATGTCAAGCTTCCACGGCCAAACTCCGAAACACAAAGCCCTGAAATTCCAGGAGATGGAACCCGCGAACTGCAGACAATATTTTGTACATGCTACTGCTACATGTTCTGGGCTTGTTCCTTCCCAGCTAGCAATTTGTTCTGGGTTTTTGCCGTTAGGAGGTCGGGTTCTTTCAAGGAATACGTTGACAGAAACACGCGCAAAATGTCACAAGCCATCCCCGTGCAAAATCTAGCTGCCTGGGACGAATGTCTGGCATCCCTCACACACACATAAGCCCATGAGGAATGCATCTCTGGCAAAAAGAAGGCTCCTAGGATCGGTCTTGAACTTTTGCATCTTAACCTCTCCAGGCTTACAGTTCAAGCTCTTGCACTACTCATGCACGTACTTGTAGGGTTGACCCACATCTGCATGCCGGCCTTGTAGGTTAATGCACTTCATCACTACCCCACCCGCACTTTTGTGGGGCTTCAGGGCCGGGTACCGTTGCGCTGGGCTGCTGCGGGGTGACCAGTGGCAAGAATCCTACATCTTGAAAGGGCACAAAAAAAGATACACAAAAATGCAGGCCGCATCAGGCCAAGCTCAGGCAAAGTTATCCTATCTACCAAGGTTCAAGAGCACACGGCTTCTGTCTTTTGGGGGCCCTTTCCCATCTCAGGGCGAGGAAGGATACAACTTGCCTGCCATGGTGGGAGCTGCCAGGTTCCTAATCGCACTGCTTCTGCTGCGTTCAACTATCCTTTCATTTTAGTTCAAATCAGACACAGCGTCTTCATCTTCTACTTTTGCATCTCTAAGGGGCCCTGGCGATTGGGCTTAACAAGGCGGCATTGACTAGATGAGGCAGTGCAAACTGCGTGCTATGACGACACTTCCAAACGGATATGGAAATCGTTCCTGAACAAGTTGAGACGTGTACTGCAGTGCACTTTGTGACCTGAAAATGCATAGAAATGCAGCGTCTGCAAACTGCTCCCACCCAGCCTTCAGACATTGATCGTCATGTTCTTATCCGACACACCCAGCGGCCTTCAGAACAGGGAGGCTTTCAGTTATAGGGATGTCTGACATTTGTTGCTTCTTGTGATGGGTGAAGGACTGCTGACGACAAGCTGCTTCGCACATTCGCTTCTAAGTTCCAACAGTTCACAGTTTGTGGACCCCACGAAACTATGAAGCTCGCGGACATGAAGCACTTGTTCGACCAGCCCATGCCTGTAGAATCACAGCAGTCAAAGATGCGCAGGCATGAGTTCCATAATCCAGTGCTCACATGCCCACAGAGCTTATGCTCCCAGAGTTTTCAGGTTTTCACAACAAACACTCAAGAATCGCCAGGCTTCTTCTGGGCTCCCATCATGAAGCTGAAGCCTCAAGATCCGAACTGTTCGACTCCAACAAAGTCACGATTACTACGCCAAAAGCGTCCCACTCTATCCAAGATAGCCTGCCTGGTCCCGACGCGGGTGTTGCCCAGGGGCTCTTCTTCAGTGGACAGCAGACCTCTGGTATGGCTGCGTCAGCTTCAACCCGTAGCTCGGAATGATGAGGTTTGGGCCTTCAGGTATGGGAAGCACTCCCTCAAATGTCTTGGCAAGCTTTACCGTCTGATGCCGTGAATCCCCGAAAACGGCTTCAGGATGTTCTATAGACGCTTTTTGGCCTTCTGCACACCAACAAGAAAGAGTAGTGTTACAGTGTTACCTTGTTCGAGCTTGTCATTGTTGCTGTGATGGACTACTAGCACGGGAGATATGGGAACCTAGGATGCTTATCCCATGCAAGAAGCTGAAACTTGTTCGGCCACGTCGAGTTCCACACGCAAATAGCAAGACCTGGTAGCCCAAATCTCAATTTTCTGCGAGCCCCAAATGCCTGATAGATTTACATGCACAAGTGTTTGAGTGCTTCAAAACGTCCGAGTACACACCACACACCGAGTAATGTTTTTTCAGGACAAAGGGTGCAAACCCAAACAAAATGCACTGTTCCGCTTCCGACTTTGCTCTTTCCTGCTTAAGGAAGACCCTGATGAGTCTGCAGGCCTCTTGGGGTGGTCAATGCATCTTTCTGACGCCTGACCTTGTAGCCTTAAGGTTGTCAAAGACACCTGCATACAGGCGGTGCTGCAACTTAGTGCCCTTAAAATGGGATCTAATTTGGAGAAACCACTGGAACCTTCATGTGCGTTGACAGTCTGAGGGATGCACTTTCCGAACCAGTCCATGTGTTCTCGTCTGTGTCCGTGCCTGAAGGGATCTGAAGGGTCTGGCTGATGAATATGGCACTGACTATTGTGTTCCTTGTATAGCTCTTCAACTCTGGGTCATCATGAGGGGCTGTTGGCCTACCTGGTCAGAATAGCATCCGACCCTGGACAATGAAATGCTGAGACACACAAGTTACAAAGCAACGAAATTAGCAAACTTTCGGGCCCATGGGCTACAACAGCATTCCTTCTTCAAAGCTAGACATACCCCTGGACACTAGTTACAAAATTAATCACCTTGCCTGGCTTGCATGAAGCTCCCGCAGTGGCCGCTCGCATGAGCAGGAGTGCTTCCTGGGCAAACGCTGCTGAAATGTCTAGCATTATGATTCCAGCGATGAGGCGAAGCGAGCGAGGATCCAAGGAAGCCCGAGGATACGGTGGGAAGGAGGAATGACCCAAACGCATTAATCCTGATATGCTCGAAATTGTCTTGCCGGAAGGTTCTCGGGGCGCCTCAGAACTTGCAAGTTCAAAGCAAACCAACCTGCTACAGTGCTCATCATTTGAGGTGATGAATAATATTGAGCCGACTCTCACCCTCCTAAACTATCCTCCAACAGCATCCCTAATCTAGTGGTTTCTGACTTTGACGTCTATGCCTTCCAGCGCGGCAAATTCACGCGACTGCTGCGAATACCATGCCTCCTAAGTGACATAAACTACCAGGAAGTGACCATCAGATCAAGGCTGGCAACACTACGCATCAATACCAATTCTGCTAACGGCTGCTAACGATTGCATTTCTAGTAGCGCTACTACCATCTCCTGGTCTCTCAAAATGCATGAACATTTTGTGAGTTTGGACTAAGGCTTGTCAGCTGGCCCCCTTTTTTACTGACAGCCCCACATTGTGAATCAGTGTGATATCTGGCCATATTATCCAAGCATCAACCGTCTGAGCGTTGAGGCCCATCCTGGCACCGTTGGTGAGAAACAAACAAACAAACCAACAGACCAACAACCAAACAAAGAAAAGGCTTTGTGTACAAATGCTTCATTGCAAGAATCAAACGACCACAACACTGACATCAAAATCTTCAGCCCAAACCCCATGCTCTTCTGTAAAAGAACTCCAACGTGGCAATCCACATGTTGGCACATTACATACAACAATACTCCTGCCAAATTGCAGAGTACTCCTAGTCCTCAAGTTTTTTCTGGAGCCTATGCAGGTATCTCCCGGGAGTCACATGCAATCGCGGAACCACTGGCCAAACTCCCGGACCACAGCATCTGAAGCATTTCGCAAGTCCTGATGGAGGAGAGCGAGATAGTGCTTCGCTCAAATAATAATGCTGACAAGCCGTGCAGGGTCAATGTAATGGTTCAAGTCACAAGCCAGCCTTTCTTTCAAACTAGCAGCCGCCCC